CGGTCGTTCTGACCATCCGTCGTTCTGTCCGTCTGTCCGTCGGTTGGTCGTTCTGTCCGGCCATCCGTCGTTCTGTCCGTCCGTTGGTCAGTGGTTCTGTACGTCCGATGGTCGTTCTGTCCATCCGTCCGTCGTTCTGTCTGTCTGTCCGTCGGTCGTTCTGTCTGTCCGTCCGTCCATCGGTCGTTCTGTCTGTCTGTCCGTCCGTCCGTCTGTCGTTCTGTCCATCCGTCGTTCTGTCCATCCGTTGGTCGTTCTGTCCGTCCGTCGAAACACTGCTTCACGAAGCGTCGAAACATTTGCGAATCTTTTGTTTCAAATCAGTATTTCGGAGCGCGTATCAAACCGGCCAGGTCACGTGATTTTAGCAAATGAAGCTTCGTTACGTCACACTGTTTCAAAACGTTTCGAAACTCCAATGGTTCACCACTAGGGGGTGTTGATCTCAACAAATACACACAGTATTTACATATTTTATACAGACAGATAGACAGATAGATAGATAGATAGATAGATAGATAGATATGGATAGTTGATGATTAACTAAGAGCCACAAACGTTGCACAAGACTAACCTTTAATTAATTACGTTCTGAAAATTTTGATTATCATCCAGTGCGGACAAATATTTAATGTTTAATCACTGACTGATATATGGGTCTAGCACTGCTCATAATATATAACATCTGTGCATAATACTGCATAGTCCATAGCACGTCAGCTGTCTTAACCGCGGCTTGTGTACTGCATCATCGTTTCAAAACGTTTCGAAACTCCAATGGTTCACCACTAGGGGGTGTTGATCTCAACGTGAACCCATGAACCACTTCTGGTTGCCCAGTTAATCATGTGACATGAAATCCCACTAAATTTTACTATAAAAAAAATAAAGAATTCAGGCCAGATGTTGTGGGTTAAACTAAATATATTTTTATAGACAGCTCTAATGAAAACACTTAATTAAAAAATTACATAAATCAATATATATATATAAATGACTGTTGATGTTTATATACATAAAATACACACAGTATTTACATATTTTATACAGACAGATAGACAGATAGATAGATAGATAGATAGATAGATAGATATGGATAGTTGATGATTAACTAAGAGCCACAAACGTTGCACAAGACTAACCTTTAATTAATTACGTTCTGAAAATTTTGATTATCATCCAGTGCGGACAAATATTTAATGTTTAATCACTGACTGATATATGGGTCTAGCACTGCTCATAATATATAACATCTGTGCATAATACTGCATAGTCCATAGCACGTCAGCTGTCTTAACCGCGGCTTGTGTACTGCATCATCACTGTGTCTGTCACGCGACTCTGTTGCCCTTTCGGGCTTGAACTGATGGTAAAACTAACGACATTATTAACTGTCTTGATATTTACTTTGAAAGCTGAAGCTGTGATTATGGTAAGGGGCGTTACATTTCCGACGCGTGCTTGTGGTGTTCGGCCAATCACAATGCACTGGGTCAGCTGGCCAATCAGAGCAGACTGCGCTTGTCAAAGGAGGGGGCTTTGTTGAAAACGACATGTTTGAGAGAGGCGGGGCATAGAGGACCTTCAATAATGTACAGTATTTGAAAAATAATGTGTTTTTTGAACATTAAAGCATGTCAACATATTCTGTTACACCAAAAACACAAAATAATGATCTTTAAAATAGCATCATATGACCCCTTTAATTAATTGAATGATTAATTTAGTTCATTGTGCGTTAAGGTTTTGATGATACTTAAAACACATAACACAAGCACTAATATTTAATAGTATTTAAGTGTTTATTATTTATTAAAAAAAAAAAAAAAAAAGGTATTTAAAAAAAAAAAACATTTCCATTTGTTTTGTAAGTTTGGTCTGAGTTCTTGATGCTTTTACAATGTTTTCACCAGCATGTGCTGTTTCAAGTGCTTTGAAACATCGAATCATTTTTCGAAGCAATTGGTTCAATTGATTCAATGCTTCGAAAAGCTTCGTTTCCCCCATCACTACCGTCCGTCCATCGTTCTATCTGTAACGAGGGAGGTGTGACAACGAAGTGGGGATCCAAATGCAAGGCTTTAATAAGAGCGTAGTCAAACAGGCGTGGTCAACAACAGCAAACAACGATGGCAGTGGCAAGGCAAAAGAGTCATCTAGAAAATCAGGCAATGGTCAAGGCAGGCAGCAAAACAATCATAAATGAGAAAACAGTCCAGGGATCAAAACACGAAGGAAAGGAAACAGAGGAACTAGACACGGAAACTTAGAAACCATGGAAGAGCTATACAACATTCAATCACCAGCAAAGTTAGAGAGTGTGTGTGCTACTTTTAAAGTCCTTCTAATGTGAGACAGCTGTGAACTGATGATGAGATCTGATGAAAGACAGGTGATTGCAATTGATGATGTGTCCAGGCAGAGGATTATGGGAAATGGAGTCCGGGGTGAGTGGTAAAGGGTACAGGATGGGGTGCCCTCTAGCGGAGCTCATGGGCACTCCAGCTAGAGATCGTGACACTATCGTTCTACCGTTCTATCTATCATTCTATCTATCGTTCTATATGTCTTTAAATATTAAAAAAAATTTCAACTTAGTTCAAAAAAGCCGATATTTAAACTTTGCTTTTCTAATTAAAATTAGAGTTTTAATTAAAGCAGGAATTAATTTCTTCGAATTTCAATTCATTTTTAAAATTCCAATTAGAAAGGTAATTCTGCATCCCTACATCAATTCAAATTTAACACAAATATTGCCAGGAAGTTTTAGGTTCCCACAAGTAAGTATATAAATAAATAAATAAAGAAGAGCTAGACTTCAAAACAAAATCCACAATTAAACTTCTGGAATGCAATGAAACCCGGTGCGCGTCTCTCGCGGGATCATCCAGTGAGGTAATGCCTTGAAATGGTTGTGATGTTTGACAGAATCGGGTTGCAGGCAGCAAACTCCGCCGCCACTAGAAAGGGAACGTCATTAGACGCTCATCACTCTAAATGCCACATCTCTATTCACACGGAGGACGCCACTGCAACCGCGCATCTGCCTAATATCCCAGATTAGAAACTGCTGCCGTTACACTTCTAATTAATATTGAGCAGCACCCTCATGAGTAAATCTTCCTCTGAGCGCTTTTTTTGTGGTAAACAATGAAGTGGGCTCGTTGATTATCAGCTGTCTGGAAACTCTGACTGCTCGGGTTGTTCAGTTCGACTGCGTTTCTCTGGCATGAATGATGGTTTAGTCATCTTTGGGTGACACACACTCACTGTCTCAACCCACACAGACACCCGTCTAATTTTAGACCGCACGCACTCAGTCTGTGAGGTAGCTGCCAATCAGCGATGGAGGCCTCCGTTAGAGCTCTTACATGACAGATGCTGAATAGTAATTGTGTGCTGTGTGGTATAACATATGTGATACACTCGTGATAAGGGAGTTATTATCTTACCGATATAAGTTTTTATCTTGCGCATCAAGTATGGACACTTTTCACAGACTGTGATGACGCTCTTTTGACCAACATAATCAATCTCTCTGTTTTTTACGTTTTGGAAAGTCATAGAAACACTTTTGTGGAATTTTTCTTTTCTTGGGGAAAATGAGAACGCTATTTGTTGTAGTTGTAGAATGCAACACCCGTGTATCAGAATAAAATCCCATTCATTTTCTGTAGAGATTGACAGATATTGTTTTTTGTGTTACTGATTATTTATATGTTATTATGCTTAAGTGCAACCGATATGCAAAGCCAAATGTTTTTTGGAGACAATAACATTTAAATTAAATTATTTAATATTATTTAAATTATTTAAATTAAAAAAAGGCGTGTATGTCGGTTAAAAAATATCGGGCAAAAATTTTTCTTTTCTTGGGGAAAATGAGAACGCTATTTGTTGTAGTTGTAGAATGCAACACCCGTGTATCAGAATAAAATCCCATTCATTTTCTGTAGAGATTGACAGATATTGTTTTTTGTGTTACTGATTATTTATATGTTATTATGCTTGCAAGCAACCGATATGCAAAGCCAAATGTATTGTTGTTGTTTTTTTGACACAATAACATTTAAATTAAATTATTTAATATTATTTAAATTATTTTTTTTTTAAAAAGGCGTGTATGTCGGTTAAAAAATATCGGGCAAAAAATAAATAAATAAATACATAAATGTTTAAAAGGATTTGCCATTAGATCTGAGGTGTTGTTATTTTAGTATTATTTATATACTATTATAGTATTTATTTATATTTTGATATCGCTTTTATTTGTATATTTTTATTTTAATTGTAGTTAAAATTTTAGTAATTTTATGTGCCATTTTTAATTTGCCATTAGTTTTAATCATCATATTTATTTAGCTTTAATTTATTAAATATTTAAAATGCATAAGGCAGTTTTTATCATTTAAAATTATTATATCATAAAAATGTATTATAACTTTTTACTAAAATAATTATGCTTTACTCCAGTTTGTAATATAAATATTTCTATTTTAATTTCAGTTTTAATTTTAGTACTTCAACTTAATAGTTTTAGTTTTGGCAAGAAACAATAATAATTAAAACCACAATCAAACTAATCAAACTTTAGTAAACTTTAACTTTAAAACTTTAAAAAAGGTAATATTCTTTGGAAAACTACTATTAAATTATATTTATTGTGAAAATTGCATTATCATACACAATTTTTTTATTTTTTTATTATCTAATTTAAAAAATATATATATTTCAAGATTTTTAAAGAAAAAATATTTAGGTGTTACTGGCATTAAAAAGTTTGAATAGCCCTACACCTTTCTAATTTTGCTCGGGATTTTCTTTTGAAGTGAGACGCAACAAATTGTTTATGTCTTTGTGCATTATGAATGAGACAATTCCTTTTGTACCAGAAACATAAACAAGAGCTGCTTCAAAGATCCTCCCAGACTTCACACTGAAGCACTTTACATATGAAAATACCAGAAGATCTATTGGAGAAAGTGAATGAATAATGAGAGCCTGTGTGTGTGTGTGTGTGTGTGTGTGTTTGAGGCTTGCGTAGACCCCCGACACCCTCAGACTCCCAGCGCTTGTATTAAAGATGAAAGCCTCACTTGCTTTGCGAGGTGCTGTGCATCGCTGTCTGTCAGAGAGCTCGGCTTCCTCCAACTTTTCGGTGGCATGGGGGAAATACAGACATAAATAAAATATAGTTTTATGAATAATTCAAGTGTGCATTGTGATTGACACGAGGGTGAAAGTACCTGATTATGCCACAGACGTGCGTGATTGGAATGAGCTCTTGAGCAGAGCAGATCAGCCGAGCTGCAAAGTTCAAACTCCTTCTCTGCATCTCTGTAAGATCGAATTACAGACCTGCCCTGAGTTTGTGTACATTTCCAATCAGTTCCTTCCTTTCGCTCTTCTGCCATTTTCAGCGTGTGGAAAATGCGCTTATTGAATTTGGCCTGTCTAGACCGCTGGATCTCATGCTTTTGTAAGTACTGGACTCCCATCGTCTTTCAGATCTTCAAGGATGGAGGTGCTTCGTGCATTTCACTTCCCAGCAGCATCTTATAAGAAAATAGGGTTAGTATGAGTAA